GCCCAAGGTGTGTGTGTGTGTGTGTGTGTGTGTGTGGTGTGTGTGGTGTGTAGTGTTGTGGTGTGTGTGTGTGTGTGTGTGTGTGTGTGTGTGTGTGTGTGTGTGTGGTGTGTGTGTGGTGTGTGTTGTGTGTGTGTGTGTGTGTGTGTGTGTGTGTGTGTGGTGTGTGTGTGTGTGTGTGTGTGTGTGTGTGTGTGTGTGTGTGTGTGTGTGTGTGTGTGTGTGTGTGTGGTCGGATGTGCACTTCAACACTAAATCTTAACGTTGTAAACATGTAAACAAGAAATAAGAACAATCGTAATCCATGAGGGATCTGGTTGAAAAGTAAAGTACTCCTTAAACTGCTGTGACTACAAGGTGTGTGTGTGTGTTTTTTTCAGGCCTCAGAGAAAGATGAAGCTGCCTGTATGAAGGACTGGATCTTAAGATATGCAGAGCAGAGCAGTGAGGAAGAGGAGGAAGAGGAAGCAGGGAAGAAACCACGCAACCCTGAACTGGAGGAGAAGTTTGACCCAGTAAGTAAAATAAATACATTTTATAAACTATTCTCACTGAACTTTCAGAGCAGTAAAGAGCAGCTCCGTGCAAAACTTAAAATCTGTGTCTTTAGATACTGCATATTGCTCAAAACTCATACAGTCATGACAGTTGTTGAGAAATAGTTAGAGCTAATGGATTATATCCAATGATACCTTCTCTGATTTCCCTACATGTGTTATTAAGTGAGCTTTAGAGGTGCAGGTATTGGACATTGTTTCCTGTATTTAAAGGATCCAAAACAATTAATGTCATTTTCTGACCTTACCCGACTGTTCTAGTTACTCTATTATCGGCCTTTTCTCACTCAGTCATTAAATCCACATATCTAAGGATCGTTTAACAAAAATCTCATCGTGTAAATCCTAATATAAAGTTGCAATATCTGGGTTTTTGATCAGCAATATTTAATAATTAGATTTCCTCCATTATTTTGGTCAATAAATGTTTTTATCAGTGTGCCGACGCTCGTGAACTGTCAGCAGGAGGGCGGGGGAGCCTCGCTGCGGGGGAGCAGTGTGTGGACCACGCAAACACAGTGGCATTTGTACAGCTCCTTATGGGTACTGCAGTTAGTGAAGCGCTTTCCTCCGTGGTGAAACTATCAGCACCACGGAGGAAAGCGGCAGAAAGTCGCCTGGAGATAAAGAGAGCGGGGCTGCGTGCATGGCTTCCTTCTGCGGGTAACGGGGAGACGCGCTCTGGCGGCGGTCTCGTTCAGGATCCGAAAATAACATTTAAATATTTTGCACACTTATTCCTAGTGTGCCACTGGTCTATGCTAAGCTAAGCTAACTGTCCACTGGATGCATCTTCTTGCAGCTTTGTATGAAGTCGTGATAGTGATTTAAACAGCTTACTCACCATTCTTGATAGTTTGACTTTTTTCTAAAATGTTTAGAATTTTTTTTTTTAGAATTCGATTTTTTTCACAATTTGAATTTTTTCTCCAAATTTAGATTTTCTTCCGATTTTGACTTTTTTTTATAAATGGTTTTCTTTTCTCAGTTTAGATTTTCTTTCTCAACATTTAGATTTTTTCTCAAAATGTCACTTTTCTTCGAATTTTAACTTTTTATTTAGAATTAGATTTTTTTCTCAAAATGGTGCTTTTTTCTCCAAATTTGCTTTATTCTCCAAATTTCACTTATTTCTCAACATTTGGCTTTTTCTTCAACATTTTTTAACTTGATTATTTATTTATTGTGATGCGATTAACTATTTATCGTGTACATTGGAATGATCCACACCAGGCTCCCGGGTGTATCTGTGTGTTTTCTTCCTGTATGTCCCTGCCTGTGTTCATGACATAAGCTGCTCATAACCCTTGCAGGATTAATAAAGTTGTCGATTGATGGATTGATTGATGCATGTTTTTTCTTTCTGTGCAGAATGACCGGTATTTGATCCTCACGGCTCAACTGTACGACGCCAGAGACATGGCTGCTGTTGCTAAAACCAAAGGAGACAAGACAGGTCAAAGGTCGGCTCAGGACCGGATCCGCATCATCCTGCAAGGTCAGAGAGCTCCTCTAACTGAGTCCTGCACTGCAAAAACTCAAAGTCCTTCATAGATATGTTTTTTATATATCTATATATCTGAGACAAATGCTATTGCCTAAAAATAGCATGACAGGTGACCTTTAAAACATTTCTATGACTCGTGTTAAGCTCATATATTTCCTGTGTTGTAGAGATGAAGCAGCTGGAGCCGCACCCCATGTTCAATCCGGCTCTAAAGGTGGTGGACGCGCCGCAGAAGGAAAAGAAAACACTTCCTGTCACCGAGGATCTCGCCTTCAGCGTATTCGAACAAACGGAGAAAGCCCCTCCTAAAGAGAAAGGTTTGCAACTCAAACATTAACTTTAACAACGAACTTTCTAATTGTTCTACAAGATACTGTATAAAACACAACATACTGTTTGAATTGGATTTGAATATACTACATTATCAAAATAAGGATAGGCAAGGTACGTTTATTTATATAGCACCTTTCAACATAAGGTAATTCAAAGTGCTTTACAAAAACGAAAATCATAAGGAAATAGTGCAGCGGAAACACATTTACAATGGCATTTAAAAACAGTCATTAAAGGCTAATATATGCAGGGCTCTTTGTGGAGCCATTTTCTATTGGTAAAAACTACCATTTTAAAGCCTGATGTAATGAAATGCAGGATATGTTCTTTGTGTTTTTATACATGCTTTATGACCTTTGTTTACCCGTTGCATTAATTGTTAAAGGTCCCATGTCATGCTCTTTTGGTTATCACCCGTCCCCTTGTTGTTATGTAGCTTTTTCTGCATGTAAACGGTCTGCAGAGTCACGAACCCTCAAAGTACACCCTGTAGCGAGTAAAACTCTAACACAGAGAAGACCTGTCTGTGCTGCCCCAGAACGCCTCGTTGGTGATTTCTCTTTTTCCATTGTTTACTTCTTGGGTATAGTGACGTAACATAACGGCTCCGCAAATTGGTCCATTTGAACCAATCTGCGGAGCCGTTACGTTACGTCCACGGAGCCGTTACATTTGGACCAATCCGCGGACTTCCTCACACACACACACACTCGGCGGGACGTTTCGAGGCTCGCTGCTGCGAGGAGCGGGACACTGTGAGCTGGCTCACTGGTGTGGGGTCGGCGAGACAGCGAGACACCGCGGAACTCAGCCTGGGCACACACACAAACTGCCAGCCAGGCTGCGGGTGTGTGTGTCTCGCTGTGTCTCGCAGACGGTCACTGGGCTCACAGGGAGGGAGGGGGGGGGGGGCAGGAGCTCCAACAAGCCGTTCAGGACAGAGAGTGAATACACACACTATACAGAGATGTTGTTTGAGAAACCAATGTGAGTTTGGAACATTGAACAATGTAAATCTGTTCTAGTAGACCTCAACAAAGGAATTATGATCAGTAGAAATGGCCGTGACATGGGACCTTTAACATTATGAATTGAAATGAGGAGAAAATAGATAAAGTTTGTTGTTTGTTAATTTATTTAAGAAAGGTACAATTCACACTGATTAATATGAACACTAAATGTGCAAGATTTATCTAGAATCAAAGGGATGAACCCCTCGGTCACACAGGCAGAGCACACAGTGAAATGTGTTCTCTACATTTAACCCGTCCTAGTATCAGGAGTCTAGTACTAGGAGCAGTGGGCAGCTATTGCACAGCGCCCGGGGAGTGAGGGGTGAACTGGGACCTCTCCAAGTAGCAGTCCACACTCCATATTTAGGTCTGATCGGGGTCTTGAACCGGCGACCCTACAGCTCCCAGTCCAAGCCGCTACTGACTGAGCCACTGCAGGTTGATGGCTTTAAAAGATAACATGCAAAAGTATAAATGCACAGAATTTGTGATATTGGATAATTAAGTTTACCTGGTTTATTCTTGTAGTGGGAAAGTCTTCACACTTTTAGGCTGTATTCTAAGTTTGAGTGCCAAAAATAAACGAGGCTTTGGGATACATTACTTTTTTAAAACCAACATTTAATCTCACACTTTTTGCTGATCATTTCGTCACACTTTCCTTTCTGTTTTCCAGCTCCAGTTGTGAAGAAGAACGAGCCGAAGGACATCCGTGACTTTGACTACACGGCTCGCAGCTGGACGGGAAAATCCCCCAAACAGTTCCTCATCGACTGGGTCCGGAAGAACCTCCCCAAGAGCCCGGCACCCGCCTTCCACAAGGTGCCTGCTGGGAAATACTGGAGGTCCAAGTGAGTGTGTGTGTGTGTGTGTTTTATTCCTATACACATGGACATTTTGGTGCGTACAAATCCACTTCTATTACCGCTCTCACAACATAAAGGGATGGTGTGTGTGTGTGTGTGTGTGTGTGTGTGTGTGTGTGTGTGTGTGTGTGTGTGTGTGTGTGTGTGTGTGTGTGTGTGTGTGTGTGTGTGTGTGTGTGTGTGTGTGTGTGTGTGTGTGTGTGTGTGTGTGTGTGTGTGTGTGTGTGTGTGTGTGTGTGTGTGTGTGTGTGTGTGTGTGTGTGTGTGTGTGTGTGTGTGTGTGTGTGTGTGTGTGTGTGTGTGTGTGTGTGTGACTCCTAGACATTTAGCTAAATGTTGTAGGGTAGGAAAATGTTCAAAATGATCTCCATGTGTGTAAAAATCCACTTCAATTATCAGCTCTCACGACTTAGAGATGGAAATGGACTTATATATTTACTCAAGTTAGACTTAGATATACAACGTTTAAGGTATTTGTACTTTACTTGCGTTTTTTCTACGTTTTTGTTTTCTACTCCGCTACATTTCAATGGGACATTTTGCTTTTTTACCCTAACCCCCACACATATCTTATAAAGCTATACAATATAAGGTTTTGTTACAGATGAATTGTCCAATTTGTAGATACAAGAACAGCTGAAACAATGAGTTTATTGACAGGAAATGAATTGTCATATTAATAACGCCATTTCTCAATATTTTCTACATTTCTAAAATAAAATGGATCGATTAAATATGACAGTTGATCCTTTAATTGATAAATTCCTTATAAAAGTAAAGAACATTTTCTGTAACCTTGCAAAATAATCATTATTTAGTGCTATATATATATTGAAGTATAACATATCCTGCAGTAGTGATATGTTGTGTTATTGAAGTCAAAGTCAACCCTATTGTCAATCTTTCAGTTTGTGTACAGACAGAGAGATCGAAATACCGTTTCCCACAATCCAGAATACAAAAACAAATATATATAAAATATGTATAAACCTATATATACACAATCAACAGACACATGTATACATATGCACACATTAAGACATCAATAAAAGCACAACGATCAATATATACAAAATAACAGTCACTTCAATATCTTTGGGAAATGTACATTAGTGCAAGACTGTCCATAGCAGCGTAAAGAGTGTCTGGTGCTGGATTTGAGTGTGTGTGTGTGGGGTGTTAAAGTCCAGTGTGGGCATAATAATGAAAATCATTTTAAAGCCAACAACTACAAATGTCCAACTAGATTTAGAAATATGTTGTATTGATTTGACGTCTCTCTCAGGGTGCGTGTTCAGAGGACGGAGGACATTCTTGAAGTTTGTCCCACGATCCTGACGGAGGACAGCATGCAGGCTCAACATCTGGCTGCCACTCTGGCTCTCTACACCATGGTGAAGGGACAGGTAATACACAGGTGTACAGTACGACTCACTGAACATTTTATACCATTAGATGCTTCTTAAATTAAGGCTGTGTAGTAAAAAGTACATTTTCTTATCTGATGACGTTTAGTCGTCTCATTAAGACACTTTTTAAACTCACCAGTGGGGTATTTAAGGACGTATTTTATGTTAACCACAGACCTTATTTCAGGATAACCAAAAACACGTTCAGGAAACCATTGACTTCCAGACAGGGAAGACAGGAAGTGCTAACATGCTGACTCATTCCCAGCTTTAAGGACTCATTCCTTTAACATCAGTTAAAAGTATACTTCGGGACAATGGTGGATTTAGCATACAATACATCAAAGAAACATACATGGCACAACCTTCTAGTTAAGCTAGGGCAGTGTTTCTCAAACGTTTTCATACCAAGGACCACTTAACCAATAGAAAAACACTCGCGGACCACCTAACTCCACAGATATCCAAAATCACATCATTTTTCTAGAACAGATTACAAATCGCCTGAAAATGGTACAAACAAGTGGCAACATGTGTGACGAAGGTGTTGTGCTGGGCTATATCATGCAATTGAAAGTGAAACTTAAGCTCGCTCCATTGCGGAGATATTCCCGCGAGAGTGCGGAAAACTTAAATGTATTTATTTATTTCAAATGTTACCAATATACTCACTGACCACTAGGGGGCGATCACGGGCTACCAGTTGTCCGCATACCACACTTTGAGTAGCACTTAGTCAGATCTTGTACTTGAGTAAAAGTAGAAGTACTCTGATCTTGTACTTGAGTAAAAGTAGAAGTACTCAGATCTTGTACTTTAGTAAAAGTACTCTGATCATGTACTTGAGTAAAAGTAGAAGTACTCAGATATTGTACATGAGTAAAAGTAGAAGTACTCAGATCTTGTACTTGAGTAAAAGTAGAAGGAGAAGTACTCAGATCTTGTTCTTGAGTAAAAGTAGAAGTACTCAGATCTTGTTCTTGAGTAAAAGTAGAAGTACTCAGATCTTGTACTTGAGTAAAAGTACTCTGATCTTGTACTTGAGTAAAAGTAGAAGTACTCAGATCTTGTACTTGAGTAAAAGTACTCAGATCTTGTACTTGAGTAAAAGTAGAAGTAATCAGATCTTGTTCTTGAGTAAAAGTAGAAGTACTCAGATCTTGGACTTGAGTAAAAGTAGAAGTACTCAGATATTGTTCTTGAGTAAAAGTAGAAGTACTCAGATCTTGTTCTTGAGTAAAAGTAGAAGTACTCAGATCTTGTACTTGAGTAAAAGGAGAAGTACTCAGGTCTTGTACTTGAGTAAAAGTAGAAGTACCAGAGTGTAGGAATACTCAGTTACAGTAAAAGTCCTGCATTCAAAATGTTCCTCAAGTGAAAGTAGAAAAGTATTCTCATCAAAATATAGTGAAAGTAGCGACAGTAAAAGTAGTCGTTGTGCAGATTGGTCCATTTCAGAATAATATATATGATATGTTTTATAATGATTGATCATGAAAGTGTTCTCAATGCGTAAAGGTGCAGCTAGTCTGAATGACTTTGTATACTGCAGGGTAGCTTGTGGATTTACTCCAGGTGGAATATCCGTTGCTGCTTTCTAACCCACGGTCCCCTCTTGTACCCAGTCTGTGCACCAGCTCCTCCCCCCCACCTACAGAGACGTGTGGTTGGAGTGGAGAGACAGCGAGCAGCAGAAACAGGAAGAGAGTCGAACCGCCGCCAACAAACCCAGAGACCAGTTCATCTCCCGCCTGCTGACCCGCCTCAAACAGCAGCAGAACCAGGACCAGGGGCCCGAGGCTGGGTCTGAGGGCCCGTCGGGGGGGGGAGGAGCAGGGGAGGAAGAGCCGGAGGAGTCCTGGGAGAACCTGGCAGGACTGGATATGGAGGAAGGAGGAGGTGGAGGGGGTGGAGGAGGAGGAGGAAGAGGAGAGGTGGAGGATAAGAGCGAGAGGAGAGGGAGGAAGGAAGGAGCTCTGGAGGCGGCGAGGGAGCTTCTAATGAAGCTGAGGAAGTCTCCACTGGCACAGAAACTGAAGGTAAACATATGTGTGTTGTCTTCTCCTGAATTTTTACGTCTCTTGTTTGTTTTTGTTTTATTTTTGATGGCACCTTAAAAAAGGAGTAGCTCTACTCATCTCATTGTACCTGTATACTGACCATAAATCATTATATTTAATTTAATTTAACATATTAAAGAGCTTTTTAAGAGGCCTTATTCTGCTTTTTGGGGTTTTCCCTTTCCCGTAGTGTGTTATATTGTTTTTTGTGCATTAAAATGAACTGCAAAGGCTATAAATCCCCCTATTGGCTAGCACTCCCAACACATTGTAGGATGAGGGGGCGGGACATCTCTAAGTGGTTGACCAATCACAACAGAGCCGGCCAGCTAACCAATCAGAGCAGGCTGGGCTCTGGTTTCAGACAGAGGGTGAAAAGAGGTGTTGCTTAGTTTTGATAATTATACAGTTATTATGTGATCTAGTGTTCCTTAAAACACATGGTGGAAAAAAAAAACATATACATGAACCCTAGAGAGGGCAAAAGTACACACATGCTTTACTCAAGTAGAAGTACAGATACTCGTGTTTAAAAATACTCTGGTGAAAGTAGAAGTACTGACTAAACTTCTTTACTCAAGTCAAAGTAAAGAGGCTTTGAAATGTACTTCAGTAAAAAGTACCCATAACTAGCAGCTGCTTTAAAGAGTACCTGACCTCCCTTTATATTAATAGAACAATAATGTCATTGTTAGCTAATGAATGTTTCCATGCTGAACAACGGCAACATGACAACGTTTCCATTGGTCCCTCTTCTTTAGAGAAGACCAGGAAATGATGGATACACGGATCGTGTTCAAATCAATAGGCACGCAATGACTCTAAAGAATAATGATCACGCATCAAACACACATTCAGACTAAAGGAACCATCTGTTTGGGAAATGAGAGAAGTAGAAAGTACAGGTATTTGAGTTCAACATGTAAGAAGTAGAAAGTACAAGTATTTGAGTTCAACATGTGAGAAGTAGAAAGTACAGGTATTTGAGTTCAACATGTAAGAAGTAGAAAGTACAGGTATTTGTGTTCAACATGTAAGAAGTAGAAAGTACAGGTATTTGGGTTCAACATGTAAGAAGTAGAAAGTACAGGTATTTGAGTTCAACATGTAAGAAGTAGAAAGTACAGGTATTTGTGTTCAACATGTAAGAAGTAGAAAGTACAGGTATTTGAGTTCAACATGTGAGAAGTAGAAAGTACAGGTATTTGAGTTCAACATGTAAGAAGTAGAAAGTACAGGTATTTGTGTTCAACATGTAAGAAGTAGAAAGTACAAGTATTTGGGTTCAACATGTAAGAAGTAGAAAGTACAGGTATTTGAGTTCAACATGTAAGAAGTAGAAAGTACAGGTATTTGGGTTCAACATGTAAGAAGTAGAAAGTACAGGTATTTGTGTTCAATATGTAAGAAGTAGAAAGTACAGGTATTTGTGTTCAACATGTAAGAAGTAGAAAGTACAGGTATTTGGGTTCAACATGTAAGAAGTAGAAAGTACAGGTATTTGTGTTCAATATGTAAGAAGTAGAAAGTACAGGTATTTGTGTTCAACATGTAAGAAGTAGAAAGTACAGGTATTTGAGTTCAACATGTAAGAAGTAGAAAGTACAGGTATTTGTGTTCAACATGTAAGAAGTAGAAAGTACAGGTATTTGGGTTCAACATGTAAGAAGTAGAAAGTACAGGTATTTGTGTTCAATATGTAAGAAGTAGAAAGTACAGGTATTTGGGTTCAACATGTAAGAAGTAGAAAGTACAGGTATTTGTGTTCAATATGTAAGAAGTAGAAAGTACAGGTATTTGAGTTCAACATGTAAGAAGTAGAAAGTACAGGTATTTGTGTTCAACATGTAAGAAGTAGAAAGTACAGGTATTTGGGTTCAACATGTAAGAAGTAGAAAGTACAGGTATTTGTGTTCAATATGTAAGAAGTAGAAAGTACAGGTATTTGTGTTCAACATGTAAGAAGTAGAAAGTACAGGTATTTGAGTTCAACATGTAAGAAGTAGAAAGTACAGGTATTTGAGTTCAACATGAAAGAAGTAGAAAGTACAGGTATTTGAGTTCAACATGTAAGAAGTAGAAAGTACAGGTATTTGAGTTCAACATGTAAGAAGTAGAAAGTACAGGTATTTGTGTTCAACATATAAGAAGTAGAAAGTACAGGTATTTGGGTTCAACATGTAAGAAGTAGAAAGTACAGGTATTTGTGTTCAACATGTAAGAAGTAGAAAGTACAGGTATTTGAGTTCAACATGTAAGAAGTAGAAAGTACAGGTATTTGAGTTCAACATGTAAGAAGTAGAAAGTACAGGTATTTGTGTTCAACATGTAAGAAGTAGAAAGTACAGGTATTTGTGTTCAACATATAAGAAGTAGAAAGTACAGGTATTTGAGTTCAACATGTAAGAAGTAGAAAGTACAGGTATTTGAGTTCAACATGAGAGAAGTAGAAAGTACAGGTATTTGGGTTCAATATGTAAGAAGTAGAAAGTACAGGTATTTGAGTTCAACATGTAAGAAGTAGAAAGTACAGGTATTTGGGTTCAACAAGTAAGAAGTAGAAAGTACAGGTATTTGTGTTCAACATGTAAGAAGTAGAAAGTACAGGTATTTGGGTTCAACATGTAAGAAGTAGAAAGTACAGGTATTTGAGTTCAACATGTAAGAAGTAGAAAGTACAGGTATTTGGGTTCAACATGTAAGAAGTAGAAAGTACAGGTATTTGTGTTCAACATGTAAGAAGTAGAAAGTACAGGTATTTGTGTTCAACATATAAGAAGTAGAAAGTACAGGTATTTGGGTTCAACATGTAAGAAGTAGAAAGTACAGGTATTTGTGTTCAACATATAAGAAGTAGAAAGTACAGGTATTTGAGTTCAACATGTAAGAAGTAGAAAGTACAGGTATTTGAGTTCAACATGTAAGAAGTAGAAAGTACAGGTATTTGAGTTCAACATGAGAGAAGTAGAAAGTACAGGTATTTGAGTTCAACATGTAAGAAGTAGAAAGTACAGGTATTTGAGTTCAACATGAGAGAAGTAGAAAGTACAGGTATTTGAGTTCAACATGAGAGAAGTAGAAAGTACAGGTATTTGTGTTCAACATGTAAGAAGTAGAAAGTACAGGTATTTGAGTTCAACATGAGAGAAGTAGAAAGTACAGGTATTTGAGTTCAACATGTAAGAAGTAGAAAGTACAGGTATTTGGGTTCAACATGTAAGAAGTAGAAAGTACAGGTATTTGAGTTCAACATGAGAGAAGTAGAAAGTACAGGTATTTGAGTTCAACATGTAAGAAGTAGAAAGTACAGGTATTTGGGTTCAACATGTAAGAAGTAGAAAGTACAGGTATTTGAGTTCAACATGAGAGAAGTAGAAAGTACAGGTATTTGAGTTCAACATGTAAGAAGTAGAAAGTACAGGTATTTGGGTTCAACATGTAAGAAGTAGAAAGTACAGGTATTTGAGTTCAACATGTAAGAAGTAGAAAGTACAGGTATTTGTGTTCAATATGTAAGAAGTAGAAAGTACAGGTATTTGTGTTCAATATGTAAGAAGTAGAAAGTACAGGTATTTGGGTTCAACATGTAAGAAGTAGAAAGTACAGGTATTTGTGTTCAACATGTAAGAAGTAGAAAGTACAGGTATTTGTGTTCAATATGTAAGAAGTAGAAAGTACAGGTATTTGTGTTCAACATGTAAGAAGTAGAAAGTACAGGTATTTGAGTTCAACATGAGAGAAGTAGAAAGTACAGGTATTTGAGTTCAATATGTAAGAAGTAGAAAGTACAGGTATTTGTGTTCAACATGTAAGAAGTAGAAAGTACAGGTATTTGTGTTCAACATGTAAGAAGTAGAAAGTACAGGTATTTGTGTTCAACATGTAAGAAGTAGAAAGTTCAGGTATTTGTGTTCAACATGTAAGAAGTAGAAAGTACAGGTATTTGTGTTCAACATGTGAGAAGTAGAAAGTACAGGTATTTGTGTTCAACATGTAAGAAGTAGAAAGTACAGGTATTTGTGTTCAACATGTGAGAAGTAGAAAGTACAGGTATTTGTGTTCAACATGTAAGAAGTAGAAAGTACAGGTATTTGTGTTCAACATGTAAGAAGTAGAAAGTACAGGTATTTGTGTTCAACATGTAAGAAGTCAAAGTAAAAAGTTGTCAGAAAAATAAGTAGTGGAGTAAAGTACTGATACCAGAAACATGTACTTAAGTACAGTAACTACTTTGTACTCCGCTACTTCCCACCTCTGATGAACCCAGAGAAAATGATCTGAAATGTAAAACATGCATAAACTAAACACATGTAATTTGTTAAATGTGTTTCCAGTTGGAGCGAGAGCAGCTTCCTGTGTTCCAGCACCGGCACCGCGTCCTGGAGGCTCTGCAGCGCCACCCGGTGGTGGTGGTGGCCGGAGAGACAGGAAGTGGGAAGAGCACTCAGATCCCTCAGTTCCTATTGGAGGAGCTTCTGATTGGCTGCCCGGCGGCTCGACCCGTCAACATCGTGGTGACGCAGCCGCGCAGGATCTCTGCCATGAGCCTCGCCTGCAGGGTCAACCAGGAGCAGGGCTGTGAGGACGCGCCGGGGTCAAAGGTCAGGAGGGAGTTATTTAACTAAACTTAAACTAAATTATCTAATGTGCATTTAAAAAAAGAGGAATAGTTTCGGTGAAGACCAAAAGGTACCATGGCGTCATAGAAAACTATTATGTGGCCCTAATCCTGTTCTGAAGTACTCAGATCTTGTACTAAAGTAGAAGTACTCAGCTCTTGTTCTTGAGTAAAAGTAGAAGTGCTCAGATCTTGTACTTGATTATAAGTAGAAGTACTCAGATATTGTGCTTGAGTAAAAGTAGAAGTACTCAGATCTTGTGCTTGAGTAAAAGCAGAAGTACTCAGATCTTGTACTTGAGTAAAAGTAGAAGTACTCAGATCTTGTGCTTCAGTAAAAGTAGAAGTACTCAGATCTTGTGCTTCAGTAAAAGTAGAAGTACTCAGATCTTGTACTTCAGTAAAAGTAGAAGTACTCAGATCTTGTGCTTGAGTAAAAGTAGAAGTACTCAGATCTTGTACTTGAGTTAAAGTAGAAGTACTCAGATCTTGTACTTGAGTAAAAGTAGAAGTACTCAAATCTTGTACCTGAGTAAATGTAGAAGTACCAGAGTGTAGGAATACTATGTTACAAGTAAAAGTAACATAAAATGGAAATACTCAAGTAAAGTACAAGTACCTCAAAATTGTACTCAAGCACAGTACTTGAGTAAATCTACTTAGTTACTTGGCTCTAATGAATCTGTTTTAATGTTGTCATGTCTCCAGTCGTCGCTGTGTGGGTATCAGATCCGGATGGAGAACAGGTCGGCGGAGGGGACCCGCCTCCTGTACTGCACCACAGGGGTCCTGCTGAGGAAACTGCAGCACGACTCACACCTCAGCTCCCTCACACACATCATCGTGGACGAGGTACACACACTTACTATGAGACCGTTTTAAAAAGAGACCCCTCTGACTTCAGATGCATGTGATGGGTTTTCTTAAATGACGTTTAACAAATATTATTTTGCGGATGTTTTAGTTTATTTGCTAGTTTTGACCTCTTATTACACACACTAACACTAACAATAACCTTTTGCTATCATCTAATCCCTAACTATCCAGAAAATCAAGTATATTAAAACCTTATTTCATTTTCTTAACTATAATTCCCTGGTACACCTGTTCCCCCCCAAGGTGCACGAGCGCAGCGTGCAGTCAGACTTCCTGCTGACCATCCTGAAGGACGTGGTGATGAAGCGTTCGGACCTGAAACTGATCCTGATGAGCGCCACGGTCGACTGCCAAAAGTTCTCCTCGTACTTCAACCGCTGCCCCGTCATCAGCATCCCTGGGAGGACCTTCCCCGTGGAGGTGAGGGGGGGTTCACTTTATATGACTTAGAAAGTCGGGTTTAAAGGTCACCTATTATGCAAAATCCTCTTCTTCATGTCTCTTCTACATCAACATGTGTCCCCTCTTCTTCATGTCTCTTCTACATCAACATGTGTCCCCTCTTCTTCATGTCTCTTCTACATCAACATGTGTCCCCTCTTCTTCATGTCTCTTCTACATCAACATGTGTCCCCTCTTCTTCATGTCTCTTCTACATCAACACGTGTCCCCTCTTCTTCATGTCTCTTCTACATCAACATTTGTCCCCTCTTCTTCATGTCTCTTCTACATCAACATGTGTCCCCTCTTCTTCATGTCTCTTCTACATCAACACGTGTCCCCTCTTCTTCATGTCTCTTCTACATCAACACGTGTCCCCTCTTCTTCATGTCTCTTCTACATCAACATGTGTCCCCTCTTCTTCATGTCTCTTCTACATCAACATGTGTCCCCTCTTCTTCATGTCTCTTCTACATCAACATGTGTCCCCTCTTCTCCATGTCTCTTCTACATCAACATGTGTCCCCTCTTCTCATGTCTCTTCTACATCAACATGTGTCCCCTCTTCTCCATGTCTCCTCTACATCAACATGTGTCCCCTCTTCTCCATGTCTCCTCTACATCAACATGTGTCCCCTCTTCTTCATGTCTCTTCTACATCAACATGTGTCCCCTCTTCTTCATGTCTCTTCTACATCAACATGTGTCCCCTCTTCTTCATGTCTCTTCTACATCAACATGTGTCCCCTCTTCTTCATGTCTCTTCTACATCAACATGTGTCCCCTCTTCTTCATGTCTCTTCTACATCAACATGTGTCCCCCTCTTCTTCATGTCTCTTCTACATCAACATGTGTCCCCTCTTCTTCATGTCTCTTCTACATCAACATGTGTCCCCTCTTCTTCATGTCTCTTCTACATCAACATGTGTCCCCTCTTCTTCATGTCACTTCTACATCAACATGTGTCCCCTCTTCTTCATGTCTCTTCTACATCAACATGTGTCCCCTCTTCTTCATGTCTCTTCTACATCAACATGTGTCCCCTCTTCTTCATGTCACTTCTACATCAACATGTGTCCCCTCTTCTTCATGTCTCTTCTACATCAACATGTGTCCCCTCTTCTTCATGTCTCTTCTACATCAACATGTGTCCCCTCTTCTTCATGTCTCTTCTACATCAACATGTGTCCCCCTCTTCTTCATGTCTCTTCTACATCAACATGTGTCCCCTCTTCTTCATGTCACTTCTACATCAACATGTGTCCCCCTCTTCTTCATGTCTCTTCTACATCAACATGTGTCCCCTCTTCTTCATGTCTCTTCTACATCAACATGTGTCCCCTCTTCTTCATGTCACTTCTACATCAACATGTGTACCCTCTTCTTCATGTCTCTTCTACATCAACATGTGTCCCCTCTTCTTCATGTCTCTTCTACATCAACATGTGTCCCCTCTTCTTCATGTCTCTTCTACATCAACATGTGTCCCCTCTGTGGAAAGAGACTCTGAAAGTTTCAGGAACAAAGATTCTCTCTCTTTTTGGTCCATTTCTATAAAAACCTGTCTGAAAATGAGCTGATCAGATTTTGGCCACTTTATGATGTCATAACGATGTTTTGTCTTGTGTAACCATTAGCCAATCAGCAACCAAGGTAACCCCCCCCCCCTTATCACCTGAATCTCCTCCTAGAGCTCCATTGAGTTCTTTGTAACCAAATGTCTCTCAGAGGGGTGTGGGGAGGGGCTCCTTATTTTCATCTAAAGTAACAGACAGAGAATCAGCACTTTGGAAACAGGGCTGAAACAGAGGGGATTATGGGTAATGCTGCAATGATCTGTTTGGTGTTTCAGCCAATCAGAGACAGGTTCTGTATATATCTGAGACCTGTGATATATTGATGAAAAACAGAATAATAGGGACCTTTAATGTTGAAATAACAGAGATATCTACAGAGCTGAGTCCAGATCAAATGCACGCTGAAGGCTCTTTGAGGTCTTTCTCTCACTGATCCTGCTGTTATGTTAAATGTTTGTTGTTCATGTGTTGTGTCTTGATATCTGTCTGTTGATGTTACACATGGAGCTGCTGGGATGCAAGTCACATTTCAGACTTGATCTGACCATTAAAGTTGTATCGTATAAGAGATAAGGCACGTCTGGGTTTTAATGTAGTCCTATCAGAGTATTTTTTGTTTACGATTAGACTACGAAAGGCTAGAGCTGCCAATACAATACATATATAAACGATTGAACTTAGCACCTGTAACATTTAAATGGGATTATTATAATATTACTGAATCTGATGTGAAAATAAATAATCGTCCATTAAGGAAATACTTATTATTTTCAAAAAAAGTTGATCGTTGAGGCTTTAATTTCTCTATTTATTCTTTTGTTGTAAATGAATTTTTTTTAACTTAGTTTTTATTTCAGATTCAGTTTCATTATACACATCACGGTTTCCGCTAGGATGTTTTCTTGCCGGTCAAACTCTAAACTTACCGGTCATGTTTCAATAATAATAATAAGAATTGTGTAGCAGAGTTTCCGTTAGCAGGTAATTACCGGACTAGGACCGGATATGCTGATGTTTAAAACAGCCGGTCAGTATCCAGCTCGCTACACAGTGGGCGGGGCTTCAGGTGATCATGCAGAGCTGCGTGTCTCCGTCAGACTCAGCAGCTGATCTGATCCCTCTCTCTCGTTCGGTTACACTTCACTCGCGTTTATGTCCATATCGCTCAGATCCAGCTCTCCTGATCGGCCTTTATGGAGAGCACCGATCAAACTATTAAGAGTGAATATCGGCCGATAACGACCGGCGGCCGATCGATCGGAGCATCCCTAATTATTACCGGACATTTTGACCGGCAGGTTTTTAATTTACCGGTTTTTAATAAATGTTACCGGCTAAAAAAACGGTAATTACCGGCTAACGGAAACCCTGATACATACATGTTGACATTTTGGTCAACAGTTTTTCCATTTTCATTTAGCTGTATCTACATAGCCAACATGAGAAAAAGAAAAAAGTACAAAATGAGATCAATACAAATAATAATAATAAATTAGACATATGAAAAGATAAATACATATAAATAATAATAAAATAAAACAGTGTGTGTGTATAGTTGTGTGTGTGCAGGTCAGAGCCATTCAATACACTTTGATCAGGAGGTTAAAGACCCTGAAGTGGTTCGAAAGATGTGGAGAAATCAGAATGAACTTACTGGATCAGCGAAGTTGTGGCGTGACTCCATCTTTTGCGAACCTAAGGACATTTTTAACATCTTGGTTTCGTCTCCAGGTGTCTCACTTAGAGGACATAGTGGAGGAGACCGGCTACCTTCTGGAAAAAGACTCGGAGTACACTCAGAAGATCCTTGAAGACGAGGAGGAGGTGAACATCTCCTTCAGTCAGAAAGGAGGGAAGACGTCTCAGCACCAGGTAGAGTCTGCTTTTATACACTTGTATACACAATATACTGTTTTCATAATAACTTTATACCGGCACAAATACATGGAAATATATTTCATATGTATACATCTTTATTTATTTATATAGCACATTTAATCTCTCAGATCTTATACTTGAGTAAAAGTAGAAGTACTCAGATCTTGTACTTGAGTAAAAGTAGAAGTACTCAGATCTTGTACTTGAGTAAAAGTAGAAGTACTCAGACCTTGTACTTGAGTAAAAGTAGAAGTACCAGAGTGTAGGAATACTCTGTCACAGTAAAAGTCCTGCATTCAAAATGTTCCTCAAGTGAAAGTAGAAAAGTATTCTCATCAAAATATAGTGAAAGTAGCGACAGTAAAAGTAGTCATTGTGCAGATTGGTCCATTTCAGAATAATATCTATGATATGTTTTATAATGATTGATCATTACTGTGTGTGTGTGTGTGTGTGTGTGTGTGTGTGTGTGTGTGTGTGTGTGTGTGTGTGTGTGTGTGTGTGTGTGTGTGTGTGTGTGTGTGTGTGTTGTGTGTGGTGTGTGTGTGTGTGTGTGTGTGTGTGTGTGTGTGTGTGTGTGGTGTGTGTGTGTGTGTGTGTGTGTGTGTGTGTGTGTGTGTGTGTGTGTGTGTGTGTGTGTGTGTGTGTGTGTGTGTGTGTGTGTGTGTGTGTGTGTGTGTGTGTGTGTGTGTGTGTGTGTGTGTGTGTGTGTGTGTGTGTGTGTGTGTGTGTGTGTGTGTGTGTGTGTGTGTGTGTGTGTGACCTCTCTGCCTCCAGGAGTTCATATTGAGCCCCTCCTCAGGCTGGGATCTGGGTCCTGATCTGGATCACTTCAGCAGTCGCACCCGGCAGGTTCTGCAGTACATGAACCCCAACAAGATCAACATGGACCTGCTGGTGGACCTCATCGCATATCTGGGTACCAATCATCACTATATCATCAATAGTACACATTAATGCATGTTTATGGTTTGGGAAGCATTTTGTGCAGCCTTTAAAAAGTACACATTTGAGTTACTTGTAGTATTTGCTTTTCTTGCAACTGCAACTTATTTTACGACTTTGGTTACTTTTAATAATTAAGATCTTTGCATAAAAAATAATGTAATAGATATGATGGTTTGTTATGAATTCAACTAGCCAACAGTTTATCAAAGGACAGCTTTTATAAACATATCCAGAGATGGCAAAAGTACACACATCCTTTACTCAAGTAGAAGTACAGATACTCGTGTTTAAAGATACTCTGGTGAAAGTAGAAGTACTGACTAAACTTCTTTACTCAAGTGAAAGTAAAGAGGCTTTGAAATGTACTTCAGTAAAAAGTACCCATAACTAGCAGGTGCTTTAAAGAGTACCTGACCTCCCTTTATATTAATAGAACAATAATGTCATTGTTAGCTAATGAATGTTTCCATGCTGAACAACGGCAACATGACAACGTTTCCATTGGTCCCTCTTCTTTAGAGAAGACCAGGAAATGATGGATACACGGATCGTGTTCAAATCAATAGGCACGCAATGACTCTAAAGAATAATGATCACGCATCAAACACACATTCAGACTAAAGGAACCAGCTGTTTGGGAAATGAGAGAAGTAGAAAGTACAGGTATTTGTGTTCAACATGTAAGAAGTAGAAAGTACAGGTATTTGAGTTCAACATGAGAGAAGTAGAAAGTACAGGTATTTGTGTTCAACATGTAAGAAGTAGAAAGTACAGGTATTTGAGTTCAACATGTAAGAAGTAGAAAGTACAGGTATTTGTGTTCAACATGTAAGAAGTAGAAAGTACAGGTATTTGAGTTCAACATGTGAGAAGTAGAAAGTACAGGTATTTGTGTTCAACATGTAAGAAGTAGAAAGTACAGGTATTTGAGTTCAACATGTGAGAAGTAGAAAGTACAGGTATTTGAGTTCAACATATGAGAAGTAGAAAATACAGGTATTTGTGTTCAACATGTAAGAAGTAGAAAGTACAGGTATTTGAGTTCAACATGTGAGAAGTAGAAAGTACAGGTATTTGAGTTCAACATGTGAGAAGTAGAAAGTACAGGTATTTGAGTTCAACATGTGAAAAGTAGAAAGTACAGGTATTTGTGTTCAACATGAGAGAAGTAGAAAGTACAGGTATTTGTGTTCAACATGTAAGAAGTAGAAAGTACAGGTATTTGAGTTCAACATGTGAGAAGTAGAAAGTACAGGTATTTGAGTTCAACATGTGAAAAGTAGAAAGTACAGGTATTTGTGTTCAACATGAGAGAAGTAGAAAGTACAGGTATTTGAGTTCAACATGTGAGAAGTAGAAAGTACAGGTATTTGAGTTCAACATGTAAGAAGTAGAAAGTACAGGTATTTGGGTTCAACATGTAAGAAGTAGAAAGTACAGGTATTTGGGTTCAACATGTAAGAAGTAGAAAGTACAGGTATTTGAGTTCAACATGTAAGAAGTAGAAAGTACAGGTATTTGAGTTCAACATGTAAGAAGTAGAAAGTACAGGTATTTGGGTTCAACATGTAAGAAGTAGAAAGTACAGGTATTTGAGTTCAACATGTAAGAAGTAGAAAGTACAGGTATTTGAGTTCAACATGTAAGAAGTAGAAAGTACAGGTATTTGGGTTCAACATGTAAGAAGTAGAAAGTACAGGTATTTGGGTTCAACATGTAAGAAGTAGAAAGTACAGGTATTTGGGTTCAACATGTAAGAAGTAGAAAGTACAGGTATTTGTGTTCAACATGTAAGAAGTAGAAAGTACAGGTATTTGAGTTCAACATGTGAGAAGTAGAAAGTACAGGTATTTGTGTTCAACATGTAAGAAGTAGAAAGTACAGGTATTTGAGTTCAAAGTGTAAGAAGTAGAAAGTACAGGTATTTGTGTTCAACATGTGAGAAGTAGAAAGTACAGGTATTTGTGTTCAACATGTAAGAAGTAGAAAGTACAGGTATTTGAGTTCAACATGTAAGAAGTAGAAAGTACAGGTATTTGAGTTCAACATGTGAGAAGTAGAAAGTACAGGTATTTGGGTTCAACATGTAAGAAGTAGAAAGTACAGGTATTTGAGTTCAACATGTAAGAAGTAGAAAGTACAGGTATTTGAGTTCAACATGTAAGAAGTAGAAAGTACAGGTATTTGAGTTCAACATGTAAGAAGTAGAAAGTACAGGTATTTGTGTTCAACATGTAAGAAGTAGAAAGTACAGGTATTTGAGTTCAACATGTAAGAAGTAGAAAATACAAGTATTTGAGTTCAACATGTGAGAAGTAGAAAGTACAGGTATTTGAGTTCAACATGTAAGAAGTAGAAAGTACAGGTATTTGTGTTGCACTGCGTGAGGCAAATGGTGGTCACACCATATACTGACTGGTTTTCGGACCCCCCCAGACCCCCCCAATAAAGCAAAACTGCACGTTTCAGAGTGGCCTTTTCTTGTGGCCAGCCTAAGGCACACCTGTGCAATAATCATGCTGTCTAATCAGCATCTTGATATGCCACACCTGTGAGGTGGGATGGATTATCTCGGCAAAGGAGAAGTGCTCACTATCACAGATTATTTCAGATTTGTGAACAATATTTGAGAGAAATGGTTATTTTGTGTTTATAGAAAATGTTTTAGTTCTTTGAGTTCATCTCATGAAAAATGGGAGCAAAAACAAAAGTGTTGCATTTATATTTTTGTTCAGTGTAAGTACAGTAACGAAATATTTGTACTTCCCACCTCTGAACATATATAAATGTTAAATATCTGTAATTCTTTGTGCTCTTACAGATAAGTCCCCTCAGTTTGCGGAGATGGATGGAGCTGTGCTCGTGTTCCTCCCGGGTCTCGCTCACATCCAGCAGCTGTTCGACCTGCTGACCTCAGACAAGAGGTTCAGGGACAAGAACAGGTGACACACACACACACACACACACACACACACACACACACACACACACACATACCATGTGTACATCACTTCAGGGGACATTACATTGACTTACATGCATTTCCTGGAGACTTATCCTAACCCTAACCCTTAACCTTACCCTAATCCTAAACCTAACCAAGTCTTCACCCTAAAATTAATGATACCCCTCATGGGGAACTCCATTTTTTCCCCATAAGGGAGGCGAGTCCCCACACGTGACTATGTAAACAGATTTAGGTCCCCACAAGTATAGTAATGCTAGGACACACACAAACACACACACACACACACACATATCCCTGATTACACTTACTTACTCTAACCTAAGTAACATTTTTAATGCATGACTTGAAGTGAAGAATCTGATTTCTTCTTCTCTGTCTCCAGGTTCAAGATCGTCGCTCTGCACTCGACTCTCTCCTCTAAAGACCAGGCTGCTGCCTTCACAGTGCCCCCTGCTGGAGTCAGAAAGGTACTACATGCTATATATCATTGATAAGAAGGAAAATACAACAATAAAGGTAATATAGATAACCCTTTATTGGTCAAATAATTTGAGGGAATGAATGCTTTGTGTCTCTTTAGATTGTGTTGTCGACGAACATTGCGGAAACAGGCGTCACCATTCCTGACGTCGTGTTTGTCATCGACACCGGAAAGACTAAAGAAAACAAGTAAGCAAACCAATAAATTACATATTAAAGTATCGATGGATTATTATCTTCTTTCATTAAGTCATGGCTCATTTCAACATGTGTTCCCCTGTCTCTTGATTTAAATGATAGCCTCTGAAAGCAGATAATGCAGAAAAAGAAGTGTCCTAATGTCTGTCATTAAAGGAGAGTAATGATAGTGGGTAGTGTGCTGGACTTCGAATCAGGGGATAGCAAGTTCGAGTCCCACTGCATGTCGTTGTGTCCCTGGGCAAGACACTTCACCCCAAATTGCTCCTGTGGGGATTTTCCACAGTACACAGTAAGTCGCTTTGGATAAAAGCGTCTAACAAGTAACATGTAATGAAACATGTCTAAAAAAACAAAGATATTTTCTTTAGCTAAATATCATCTTTTTGGGGCTGCTGTTCTAAAGCATGCTCAAATCTTCAAATAACTTGACACGTAAAAGCTAAACAGTGCTGCTTTATTGTACTTAAAAGTGTTAACTGAAGAATGACATGAAGGGAAAGTCAGTGAAGGTCCTAATCTAAGGACAATAGAAATCTGAAATGAATGTCTCTTAATCGGGATTGCAGTAATATTAAATAAGACCTTTTCAGGTTCATAATAGTATTTTGTGTCTCAACTGTGACATGTTCCTATGCTTTAATGTTCAAAAAGATCTTTATTTTAGCCCTTTCAAACCATTTACCTGCAGAAACACCGATATAACTCACTAAAGGAAAGGCAAAAGCATAGGAGAGCCCCTTTAAAAACATCACTCAAATGTAACTCTTATTTCCTGTGTGGCGTTCAGGTACCATGAGAGCAGTCAGATGAGTTCCCTGGTGGAAACCTTTGTCTCTAAAGCCAGCGCCCTCCAGAGGCAGGGCCGAGCGGGACGCGTCCGCAGCGGATTCTGCTTCAGACTCTACCCCAAGTTCAGGTGAGGAAACACTAAATAGTTGAACAACAAAGCGGGAAAACTGTTGGGAAAATCCTGAATGTCCTCTTCCAACATGAGAGTATATGATATCAAAGGTATCCCAACTGTAGCTGTGAACATGACAGGATGTGTGATTACCTAGAAGAGCATCAGGACTGTTTGAGGCAGATGATAGCTATGTGATTAACATGATGATTCAGCCTCTATGGAGAGAGACATTAAGCATGCTCATTTCTGACGTGGAGCTAATCTGAAGTAAACATTGAATACTGCTTTCTATTCCTCCATCTTGTGACTGTGTAACTCCCTCTCTTGATATCAGCATGTGAAGGACACTGCTTTGTGTCTCAGGTTTGACTCCTTCATGGATTACTCGATTCCAGAAATTCTGAGGGTCCCACTGGAGGAGCTCTGCCTGCATATCATGGTATTTAAAACCACTTTAAAGTAGAGACACTACATACTGATAAACACCTGAACATCAGCAGGAGAGGACTCTTTAAAGTAGAGACACTACATACTGCTATACACCTGAACATCAGCAGGAGAGGACTCTTTAAAGTAGAGACACTACATACTGATATACACCTGAACATCAGCAGGAGAGGACTCTTTAAAGTAGAGACACTACGTACTGATATACACCTGAACATCAGCAGGAGAGGACTCTTTAAAGTAGAGACACTACATACTGATATACACCTGAACATCAGCAGGAGAGGACTCTTTAAAGTAGAGACACTACGTACTGATATACACCTGAACATCAGCAGGAGAGGACTCTTTAAAGTAGAGACACTACATACTGATATACACCTGAACATCAGCAGGAGAGGACTCTTTAAAGTAGAGACACTACATACTGATATACACCTGAACATCAGCAGGAGAGGACTCTTTAAAGTAGAGACACTACATACTGCTATACACCTGAACATCAGCAGGAGAGGACTCTTTAAAGTAGAGACACTACATACTGATATACACCTGAACATCAGCAGGAGAGGACTCTTTAAAGTAGAGACACTACATACTGAAATACACCTGAACATCAGCAGGAGAGGACTCTTTAAAGTAGAGACACTACATACTGATATACACCTGAACATCAGCAGGAGAGGACTCTTTAAAGTAGAGACACTACATACTGATATACACCTGAACATCAGCAGGAGAGGACTCTTTAAAGTAGAGACACTACATACTGATATACACCTGAACATCAGCAGGAGAGGACTCTTTAAAGTAGAGACACTACATACTGATATACACCTGAACATCAGCAGGAGAGGACTCTTTAAAGTAGAGACACTACATACTGATATACACCTGAACATCAGCAGGAGAGGACTCTTTAAAGTAGAGACACTACATACTGATGTACACCTGAACATCAGCAGGAGAGGACTCTTTAAAGTAGAGACACTACATACTGATATACACCTGAACATCAGCAGGAGAGGACTCTTTAAAGTAGAGACACTACATACTGATATACACCTGAACATCAGCAGGAGAGGACTCTTTAAAGTAGAGACACTACATACTGATATACACCTGAACATCAGCAGGAGAGGACTCTTTAAAGGAGAGACACTACATACTGATATACACCTGAACATCAGCAGGAGAGAACTCTTTAAAGTAGAGACACTACATACTGATATACACCTGAACATCAGCAGGAGAGCACTCTTTAAAGTAGAGACACTACATACTGATAAACACCTGAACATCAGCAGGAGAGGACTCTTTAAAGTAGAGACACTACATACTGATATACACCTGAACATCAGCAGGAGAGGACTCTTTAAAGTAGAGACACTACATACTGATATACACCTGAACATCAGCAGGAGAGGACTCTTTAAAGTAGAGACACTACATACTGATATACACCTGAACATCAGCAGGAGAGGACTCTTTAAAGTAGAGACACTACATACTGATAAACACCTGAACATCAGCAGGAGAGGACTCTTTAAAGTAGAGACACTACATACTGATATACACCTGAACATCAGCAGGAGAGGACTCTTTAAAGTAGAGACACTACATACTGATATACACCTGAACATCAGCAGGAGAGGACTCTTTAAAGGAGAGACACTACATACTGATATACACCTGAACATCAGCAGGAGAGAACTATTTAAAGTAGAGACACTACATACTGATATACACCTGAACATCAGCAGGAGAGGACTCTTTAAAGTAGAGACACTACATACTGATATACACCTGAACATCAGCAGGAGAGGACTCTTTAAAGTAGAGACACTACATACTGATAAACACCTGAACATCAGCAGGAGAGGACTCTTTAAAGTAGAGACACTACATACTGATATACACCTGAACATCAGCAGGAGAGCACTCTTTAAAGTAGAGACACTACATACTGATAAACACCTGAACATCAGCAGGAGAGGACTCTTTAAAGTAGAGACACTACATACTGATATACACCTGAACATCAGCAGGAGAGGACTCTTTAAAGTAGAGACACTACATACTGATATACACCTGAACATCAGCAGGAGAGGACTCTTTAAAGTAGAGACACTACATACTGATATACACCTGAACATCAGCAGGAGAGGACTCTTTAAAGTAGAGACACTACATACTGATAAACACCTGAACATCAGCAGGAGAGGACTCTTTAAAGTAGAGACACTACATACTGATATACACCTGAACATCAGCAGGAGAGGACTCTTTAAAGTAGAGACACTACATACTGATATACACCTGAACATCAGCAGGAGAGGACTCTTTAAAGTAGAGACACTGCATACTGATATACACCTGAACATCAGCAGGAGAGGACTCTTTAAAGTAGAGACACTGCATACTGATATACACCTGAACATCAGCAGGAGAGGACTATTTAAAGTAGAGACACTACATACTGATATACACCTGAACATCAGCAGGAGAGGACTCTTTAAAGTAGAGACACTACATACTGATATACACCTGAACATCAGCAGGAGAGGACTCTTTAAAGTAGAGACACTACATACTGATATACACCTGAACATCAGCAGGAGAGGACTCTTTAAAGTAGAGACACTACATACTGATATACACCTGAACATCAGCAGGAGAGGACTCTTTAAAGTAGAGACACTACATACTGCTATACACCTAAACATCAGCAGGAGAGGACTCTTTAAAGTAGAGACACTACATACTGATATACACCTGAACATCAGCAGGAGAGGACTCTTTAAAGTAGAGACACTACATACTGCTATACACCTGAACATCAGCAGGAGAGGACTCTTTAAAGTAGAGACACTACATACTGATATACACCTGAACATCAGCAGGAGAGGACTCTTTAAAGTAGAGACACTACATACTGATATACACCTGAACATCAGCAGGAGAGGACTCTTTAAAGTAGAGACACTACATACTGATATACACCTGAACATCAGCAGGAGAGGACTCTTTAAAGTAGAGACACTACATACTGATATACACCTGAACATCAGCAGGAGAGGACTCTTTAAAGTAGAGACACTACATACTGATATACACCTGAACATCAGCAGGAGAGGACTCTTTAAAGTAGAGACACTACATACTGATATACACCTGAACATCAGCAGGAGAGGACTCTTTAAAGTAGAGACACTACATACTGATATACACCTGAACATCAGCAGGAGAGGACTCTTTAAAGTAGAGACACTACATACTGATATACACCTGAACATCAGCAGGAGAGGACTCTTTAAAGTAGAGACACTACATACTGATATACACCTGAACATCAGCAGGAGAGGACTCTTTAAAGTAGAGACACTACATACTGATATACACCTGAACATCAGCAGGAGAGGACTCTTTAAAGTAGAGACACTACATACTGATAAACACCTGAACATCAGCAGGAGAGGACTCTTTAAAGTAGAGACACTACATACTGATATACACCTGAACATCAGCAGGAGAGGACTCTTTAAAGTAGAGACACTACATACTGAAATACACCTGAACATCAGCAGGAGAGGACTCTTTAAAGTAGAGACACTACATACTGATATACACCTGAACATCAGCAGGAGAGGACTCTTTAAAGTAGAGACACTACATACTGATAAACACCTGAACATCAGCAGGAGAGGACTCTTTAAAGTAGAGACACTACATACTGATATACACCTGAACATCAGCAGGAGAGGACTCTTTAAAGTAGAGACACTACATACTGATATACACCTGAACATCAGCAGGAGAGGACTCTTTAAAGTAGAGACACTACATACTGATATACACCTGAACATCAGCAGGAGAGGACTCTTTAAAGTAGAGACACTACATACTGATATACACCTGAACATCAGCAGGAGAGGACTCTTTAAAGTAGAGACACTACATACTGAAATACACCTGAACATCAGCAGGAGAGGACTCTTTAAAGTAGAGACACTACATACTGATATACACCTGAACATCAGCAGGAGAGGACTCTTTAAAGTAGAGACACTACATACTGATATACACCTGAACATCAGCAGGAGAGGACTCTTTAAAGTAGAGACACTACATACTGATATACACCTGAACATCAGCAGGAGAGGACTCTTTAAAGTAGAGACACTACATACTGATATACACCTGAACATCAGCAGGAGAGGACTCTTTAAAGTAGAGACACTACATACTGATATACACCTGAACATCAGCAGGAGAGGACTCTTTAAAGTAGAGACACTACATACTGATATACACCTGAACATCAGCAGGAGAGGACTCTTTAAAGTAGAGACACTACATACTGATATACACCTGAACATCAGCAGGAGAGGACTCTTTAAAGTAGAGACACTACATACTGATATACACCTGAACATCAGCAGGAGAGGACTCTTTAAAGTAGAGACACGACATACTGATATACACCTGAACATCAGCAGGAGAGGACTCTTTAAAGTAGAGACACTGCATACTGATATACACCTGAACATCAGCAGGAGAGGACTATTTAAAGTAGAGACACTACATACTGATATACACCTGAACATCAGCAGGAGAGGACTCTTTAAAGTAGAGACACTACATACTGATATACACCTGAACATCAGCAGGAGAGGACTCTTTAAAGTAGAGACACTACATACTGATATACACCTGAACATCAGCAGGAGAGGACTCTTTAAAGTAGAGACACTACATACTGATATACACCTGAACATCAGCAGGAGAGGACTCTTTAAAGTAGAGACACTACATACTGCTATACACCTAAACATCAGCAGGAGAGGACTCTTTAAAGTAGAGACACTACATACTGATATACACCTGAACATCAGCAGGAGAGGACTCTTTAAAGTAGAGACACTACATACTGCTATACACCTGAACATCAGCAGGAGAGGACTCTTTAAAGTAGAGACACTACATACTGATATACACCTGAACATCAGCAGGAGAGGACTCTTTAAAGTAGAGACACTACATACTGATATACACCTGAACATCAGCAGGAGAGGACTCTTTAAAGTAGAGACACTACATACTGATATACACCTGAACATCAGCAGGAGAGGACTCTTTAAAGTAGAGACACTACATACTGATATACACCTGAACATCAGCAGGAGAGGACTCTTTAAAGTAGAGACACTACATACTGATATACACCTGAACATCAGCAGGAGAGGACTCTTTAAAGTAGAGACACTACATACTGATATACACCTGAACATCAGCAGGAGAGGACTCTTTAAAGTAGAGACACTACATACTGATATACACCTGAACATCAGCAGGAGAGGACTCTTTAAAGTAGAGACACTACATACTGATATACACCTGAACATCAGCAGGAGAGGACTCTTTAAAGTAGAGACACTACATACTGATATACACCTGAACATCAGCAGGAGAGGACTCTTTAAAGTAGAGACACTACATACTGATATACACCTGAACATCAGCAGGAGAGGACTCTTTAAAGTAGAGACACTACATACTGATAAACACCTGAACATCAGCAGGAGAGGACTCTTTAAAGTAGAGACACTACATACTGATATACACCTGAACATCAGCAGGAGAGGACTCTTTAAAGTAGAGACACTACATACTGAAATACACCTGAACATCAGCAGGAGAGGACTCTTTAAAGTAGAGACACTACATACTGATATACACCTGAACATCAGCAGGAGAGGACTCTTTAAAGTAGAGACACTACATACTGATAAACACCTGAACATCAGCAGGAGAGGACTCTTTAAAGTAGAGACACTACATACTGATATACACCTGAACATCAGCAGGAGAGGACTCTTTAAAGTAGAGACACTACATACTGAAATACACCTGAACATCAGCAGGAGAGGACTCTTTAAAGTAGAGACACTACATACTGATATACACCTGAACATCAGCAGGAGAGGACTCTTTAAAGTAGAGACACTACATACTGATATACACCTGAACATCAGCAGGAGAGGACTCTTTAAAGTAGAGACACTACATACTGATATACACCTGAACATCAGCAGGAGAGGACTCTTTAAAGTAGAGACACTACATACTGATATACACCTGAACATCAGCAGGAGAGGACTCTTTAAAGTAGAGACACTACATACTGATATACACCTGAACATCAGCAGGAGAGGACTCTTTAAAGTAGAGACACTACATACTGATATACACCTGAACATCAGCAGGAGAGGACTCTTTAAAGTAGAGACACTACATACTGATATACACCTGAACACATGTCCTTTTTAAACGTGTTTTCTCTCTCCTTTCTGGTAGAAATGTCAGTACGGTTCCCCGGAGGAGTTCCTGAGTCGAGCTCTGGACCCTCCTCAGCCTCAGTCGGTCTGTAACGCCGTCAGCCTGCTGAGGAAGATCGGAGCGTGTCACCCCGAGAAACACATCCTCACCCCGCTGGGTCACCACCTCGCCTCCCTGCCCGTCAACGTGAAGATCGGGAAGATGCTGATCTACGGAGCCATCCTCGGCTGCTTGGAGCCCATCGTACGTTTCCTCCATACTTTACCTTTAGGGCTGTCAAACTCAATTTAAAGGTCACCTAATGTGCAAAATCCACTTCTTCATGTCTCTTCTACATCAGCATGTGTCCCCTCTTCTTCATGTCTTTTCTACATCAACATGTGTCCCCTCTTCTTCATGTCTTTTCTACATCAACATGTTTCCCCTCTTTTTCATGTCTCTTCTACATCAACATGTGTCCCCTCTTCTTCATGTCTCTTCTACATCAACATGTGTCCCCTCTTCTTCATGTCTCTTCTACATCAACATGTGTCCCCTCTTCTTCATGTCTCTTCTACATCAACATGTGTCCCCTCTTCTCCATGTCTCTTCTACATCAACATGTGTCCCCTCTTCTTCATGTCTCTTCTACATCAACATGTGTCCCCTCTTCTTCATGTCTCTTCTGCATCAACATGTGTCCCCTCTTCTTCATGTCTCTTCTACATCAACATGTGTCCCCTCTTCTCCATGTCTCTTCTACATCAACATGTGTCCCCTCTTCTTCATGTCTCTTCTACATCAACATGTGTCCCCTCTTCTTCATGTCTCTTCTACATCAACATGTGTCCCCTCTTCTCCATGTCTCTTCTACATCAACATGTGTCCCCTCTTCTTCATGTCTCTTCTACATCAACATGTGTCCCCTCTTCTTCATGTCTCTTCTGCATCAACATGTGTCCCCTCTTCTTCATGTCTCTTCTACATCAACATGTGTCCCCTCTTCTCCATGTCTCTTCTACATCAACATGTGTCCCCTCTTCTTCATGTCTCTTCTACATCAACATGTGTCCCCTCTTCTTCATGTCTCTTCTACATCAACATGTGTCCCCTCTTCTCCATGTCTCTTCTACATCAACATGTGTCCCCTCTTCTTCATGTCTCTTCTACATCAACATGTGTCCCCTCTTCTTCATGTCTCTTCTACATCAACATGTGTCCCCTCTGTGGAAAGAGACTGTGTTGTCTTGTGTAACCATTAGCCAATCAGCAACCAAGGTAACCCCCCCCCCCCTTATCACCTGAATCTCCTCCTAGAGCACCATTGAGTTATTTGTAACCAAATGTCTCTCAGAGGGGCGTGGGGAGGGGCTCCTTATTTTCATCTAAAGTAACAGACAGAGAAGCAGCACTTTGGAAACAGGGCTGAAACAGAGGGGATTATGGGTAATGCTGCAATGATCGGTTTGGTGTTTCAGCCAATCAGAGACAGGCTCTGTATATATCTTAGACCTGTGAGATATTGATGAAAAACAGTATAATAGGGGACCTTTAAGACTGCAAATTATAATAATAATAATGTTTTTGTTTCAGGCCACCATCGCCGCAGCCATCTCAGAGAAGTCTCCGTTCTCCACCCCGATGAACAGGAAGGAGGAAGCTAACCTCGCTAAAGCTACGCTCGCTGTGTCCAACTCTGATCACCTGACCATCTACAACGCTTACCTCGGGTTCGCATTTATACTTTGATTTTGTAGAGTTTTTCTACAGGAGAACTGGACAGAGAGGAAATACAATACAGCTCCATTTCAATCAGGAGAGACTTTGTTTTGATTTAACAATACGTATTTAGACCCCGTTGAGCGGAGGTATATGACAGCTGTCAGGGAGGGGAGAGAGCAGATTTAAGGATGTGACGATGCGCTCTGATTGGCTTGTGGACATAGAGACGAAGGTGATAATAATCGCCGATGGGAGAGGGGAGATAGAAATATGTGAATGACGGGATATAGAGACAGTCTTCTTGATTTAACTTACGCTAAGCTTCATATGTTTTTTCAGTAGTTAGCTTTTTGTCAGGGGACAGATCATCAATAAGGATTACCCTCAGGTCCGGAAAATATATTAAAATGACCGTTAATATATGATATTTATCCAGCAAGTACAAACACAGCCTATTAAGCAAATCGTCTCCTTCTGCTTTCTGATGATCTGTTTCAAACGTTTTATTTGTCATATAGCTACAGCAGAGTTTTGGCATTGAATCTGAAGTCTCAGGCACCTCCAAAAACAAAATGTTCAACATACCTAAGACATAAAAGAGAAAATACCATTAATAAAATGGTGGAAAAGACATGATGTTGCAGGAATATGGAGAATATAGATATATAAGATCAGATAAAACAATCTAATATGAAATGAAATGTCTTGTCTCACTGTCAGGTGGAAGACCTCTCAGAGTGACGGACAGAGAGCAGAGACGTCGTACTGCAGGAAACACTTCCTCAACAGAACTGCTCTCATTACCATAGAGGTAACACTCACACACACACACACACACACACACACACACACACACACACACACACACACACACACACACACACACACACACACACACACACACACACACACACACACTGTAATATCTCCTCTTCCTGCAGGGGGTGGAGCAGGAGCTGATGAGGATGACATTATACTGAAGTGACTGTTATTTTTGTATATATTGATTGTTGTGCTTTTATTTATGTCTTAATGTAATAAGGATAAACATATTTTTATAAATATATATATATTTGTATTCGGGATTGTGGGAAACGGTATTTCGATCTCTCTGTCTGTACACACAAACTGAAAGATTGCCAATAAAGTTGACTT